TTTTTTTTTTTTTTTTTTTTGAGACAGAGTCTTGCTCCATTGCCTAGGCTGGAGTGCAGTGGCATGATGTCGGCTCACTGCAACCTCCACCTCCTGGGTTCAAGCGATACTCCTGCCTCAGCCTCCCGAGTAGCTGGGACTACAGGCACGTGCCACCATGCCCAGCTAATTTTTTGTATTTTTAGTAGGAAGGGGGTTTCAGCATGTTGGTCAGGCTGGTCTCGAACTCCCGACCTCAGGTGATTTGCCTGCCTCGGCCTCCCAAAGTGCTGGGATTACAGGCCTGAGCCACTGCGCCTGGCCTATGTTAAAAAATTAAAACAAACAAACAAAAAACAAACAAACAAACAAAATCTGTTTTCTGATCAGAACAAAGCTACATACTGTTTTCCATTCAGAATATTCATAATGTTCATGAGCATATTAAAAGCTTTAAGATGTAATTCAATGACTAAGCCTATCAGACTTTGTTTAGACACAGTTTTGAAAATTTACTATGGTCTAATTCCTATAGATACTCAAAAGAAGGCGCACTTTTCAAACAGGCTTTGGAAGACCCATGGCATCATACTGCGTTCGAGGGCACACAAGGTCTAAATTTACAAGAATCTCTCCAACACTTTAAAACCAATGAACTTAAATATAGGTTACTTCTTTCTCATTAAAGATACCCTGTATCTAATATTCCAGATTATGACGTCTAGCTTCTTTCTAATCTGTTCACTTCCCTGGTGATATCTGATCTCCCTACTCTTGAGATTGCCTTCTGCTATTACCTGCTTTATCCAAAGTTAGAAAATATGCAATTATGTAAAAGAAATGTTCCCTTCTGTAACTGTCACTTTTCTAGCACTCCTTTTTATTGCATTGCTTCAGCATTTTTTCACATTATACAATGAACACTGTTTTGCATTTCTTCTTATATTTCTTGGTGAGTATTTTAAGTCTTTTACAGAATCCTTCAGTCTTCATAACTATACTTTCTATTTCCTAAATAGCATCCTTTCTAAACCTATAGTTTTTACTTGTCACACATTTCTGCAGTGCCTTTCACAGTGTACTCCAAAATATGAAAATGCAACTTATTCTGTTGATTTGCAGAATCTACTTAAAAATAAAATATAAATTGAATATATATATATATATGAAAGATTATATTTGCATGGTTGCCCAAAGAGAATAAAATGAAGAGTGAAAAAAATAGGAGTAATATTTTGTTATAGCAGTTTGAGTGGACTACAACAATTGACAATGCTTTCATTTCATGTAGCAAGTGGAAGTCACCTGGTTCCTGTGAACACTGGCATGTGTTAGATTATCTGTTTTTTTCAAGGCTACCTAACAATAACAGTTGGATTTCAAGGCAAATCTAGGTACAAACATACTAAATGATGGTGCTGTTTATAAAGGTCCCTTGTATAAAAGAACAGCCTGTGTATGAATTTTTGGCTTTTCAGAACAAGGAAAGATTGAGAACCAAAATATTGAGAATTATCATTAAAATGTCACAGATTTAATTTCATATTGTTAAGTATCTTTGAGTATATGTTTTACTTCCTCAACTAGATATGGGGACAAAGAATGTTTATTTTACCTTTTTGAATTAACAATGACTTCTGCTAATTTCCACAAAATTACAGAACATCACAATTATGTTGATTTTAGCTGTCATTTGTTTTTATACCTACATTAATTATAAAGTATAAGAGCTTTGATTCCCACTATTATGCATTATGCCATGTAATAAACAAAACAAGAACATGGGCCCCCTGAACCTAAAATAAAATTATATTTTTTAAAAAGCATAAGGAATTTAAATGACTTGGTAATGTTCATGCAATTAGTCAATACCAAATGTAAGGATTAAATTTAACATTGTTTTAAAACTATAACTTTTAAAGAAGTAAATAAACATCCAACTTTTATTCTAGTATTTATTTTGTAAAATTATCTTTACTAATAATTACAGAATATGAATTTCATCAATATTAATTTCTGAGATGAATAATAAGTATTTAGACTTTCCCTTCCCTGATTGCACCATTTGTCACACAGCTAAGCAATGGGTATATCTAAACACGAAAGTGAAAAGAATACTAAAAACAAAGAGAAAATTCATATATAACATAGGCCAGAGTAGAGATGTAATATCTGTCTAAGCCTTCAGATTATCTATTAAACAGTTTTAGACACAAAGCTATAATAAAGGTCCTTGCAATGGTGTGAGGATGCATAGTGATCTTTCTCTTTTAAAAGAGTTTTGATGACCCCAGCTTCAAATGATTAGCTTGTCTTGACATAATGGAGAAGCCTATGTAAAGAGTATTTCAAAAAGATTATGCAGAAGCTCTACGTCTCTATCAGAGAGCAGTTTTAAAGGGGATAATGTGTCACTTAGAGTTGGATGCTCTTCTCCATTGTCTTCCCTGTCGATTTTACTAAGGTTCTTAAAATGTATATCAAAGTAATGTGATGTGTGCTGACAAGTTGAGTAAATCTACTTGGTTTACTACGTACATCAGCAGAACTTCAAATTTTACTAGGCATAGTTTCATTTTCAGTAATGAATTGAAATATTTACTGTGCAAAGTGTTTATGGATAACATCTTAAAGATATGCGAGGAAGAAGGAGAGAACAAATGTATTGCTAATTGCAAGGCGTGAGGAAGTGGCCAGGTTGTGTACACTTAGTTTAGTCCTTTGTAACTATTTTCAAATTTCGCATGATGGTGTGCACAGGCACTGATATGAGATCACCAGGAGTAGAATCACTTTCCTACTACATACGTGGCGAGGTGTTCCCAAACAAGCACTAAACTTCTTTGTGCCTCATTTTCTTCATCTGTAAATTGGGATCATCATAATAATGCCTACCATGGGGAGGGCTATAAAAACATGAAATATAAAGTGCTTAGCACAGTATCTAGAACACAATTATCAATCAGTGACTTAGCTAGTAGGGTGATTAGTAAATTGATACAGTCCGAAGTCTTAATAAATCTGTACAAAGTCTTCAAAACAGTCCATAAATAGTTCCTAAATTAACTTTTACAAAATAAAGAATTTTAAAAATGTATTGCTCATTTTATTAACAAAAATATTAACTTTTTAAAAATTAATTTGAATCCATATGAGGATAAAGATGATGTAATCTGGATGCATGTAGGAATACAGTAGACTTTGAAATAGTTTTCTAACTTTGGGGCCCAATCAGAAATCATCCTTCCTTGGGCAGGGATGGAAAATGATGAGTTGCAATTAAACAAAGCACATATTTTATTTTATTTAATTTATTTATTTATTTATTTATTTTTTTTTTTGAGACGGAGTCTCGCTGTATCGCCCAGGCTGGAGTGCAGTGGCCAGATCTCAGCTCACTGCAAGCTCCGCCTCCCGGGTTTTTACGCCATTCTCCTGCCTCAGCCTCCCGAGTAGCCGGGACTACAGGCGCCCGCCACCTCGCCCGGCTAGTTTTTTGTATTTTTTAGTAGAGACGGGGTTTCACCGTGTTAGCCAGGATGGTCTCGAACTCCTGACCTTGTGATCCGCCCGTCTCGGCCTCCCAAAGTGCTGGGATTACAGGCTTGAGCCACCGCGCCCGGCACAAAGCACATATTTTAAATGTCAGAACAAATCCTTTAAATTACGTTAGTGGTATCTTATTACTGGACCACTTACTGTAGCTGTAATTACCATACATAAGAATAAATGGGTGGGGAAGTGCAAAATAGGTATAAACAAAAATCATTGAGGAGAATAAAGAGTTATAAACTCATTTTTTTTTTTTTTAGTATCATGACAGAATAAAAAATAACACCACATTCAGGACAATGATTTACCTGTCTCTTCAAAAGCATTATATACTAGGTTTATTTATAATTTCTATGCTGTATTCTGAGTCACATACTTTTGCACTATAATCTTCATAATTACCCTGAAAGAGAATTTGCATATAAGAAAACTGAAGTTTATAAAGGTTAAATAATTTGCCTAAGGTCAATTCAATCTTCAACTGAATTAAACAGTGTGCTTAGCCATATAGAATTTGTTCCATATATATAGAATTTGCTGATTTGTTGTCTGTTTCTGTAAATAAAACTTTATTTGAATACTGTCAGGCCTATTTATTTACATATTCTCTATGTCTGCGTTAGTGCCATGAAACACTGTAGTTGTAACAGAGATCATATGGTCCATGAGGCTTCAAATATTTAGTATCTGGCCCTTTAAGAAAAAAATTGCATTACATTCTAGACCTTCAATGCAGTGGAGGCGTGAGGAGCCTGAGGATCATTTTGTCCATCAGGCCTGTATAGTGGTAGAGACATGGGTCCAGATTTCTCTAGTGGTGTAGCCACCCAGATCTAACCACTGAGTTTCCCAGTTGCCAAGGCTACTCCGCACAGGACAAGGGGGTGCCCTAGCATCTCAGCATTCTTCAGGCCCTAAATACCTGCTGTAAGTGCTCTCAAGGGATAGCATAGCAACTCTTCCACTAACATTCATTTTGAACCCAGAGAAAAGAGAGTCCAGTGATTAGAATAGACTTGACCCATTCTCCTCTCTTCAGAGCTTCTTAGGTTGCTTTAAGGACACAAACACAGAGGATCATTTCTTTCTTTTCCAATTTTCTTTTATCCTGGGGCAACTAATCAATTTTATTTCACATTTTTAAAAGCTATACATAACAAAGAAGCATATTCAAATCACTCTAACCATTCCAGTTCAATTAATAACTAGAAGGAAATTAGTTATTGCTGCTCCAGAAAAAGTTTATGGGTTGAGCTGTCTCTATGGTAGCAAATACATTTGAAAGAAGTTTTCAAAATACTGTGCACAATTTTCTTTTGTGTGTGATAGATTAGTTATTCAACTGGATTGTTTCAATCAATAGGCTATTTTGAAATTCCCTGATATGCACATTTTAGGAGAGTATAAATCATGTGTTTTAAATATATCATTGCATAACTCTATAACCAAGAAATTCTTCATTAACTTACATGTCTCTGGGATCCATCATATTCACACCGTTCAATTTTTCCTAGACTGCCATCTGAGAAATACAACTTCTCTGCACGGTAGTCGATAGTGAGTCCATTTGGAGTGAGTATGTCTGTACTGACCACCACTTGAGCATTCTTCCCAGTCAGAGTAGATCTCATGATACTTGGATGCTGTTCATTCCAGTTGGTCCAAAACATTAAACTAATGAAAATGAAAATTGTAACTATAAGTCAAACTTCTCATCGAGAGTAAAAATACTAATAGAAACATGTCAATAGCAAGCTATTTAAAAAGAAGCAGAATTATTTACCTCATATTCTATGACCCTTAACAAAGTCTAGGTAATAAAAGGAGATATGCATATGATATTTGCATGTTAATTTTACCCGGGTTCTTAAATGAAACCTAGAACCTACTTCTAAAAAAATGATTTCCTGGGTATTCCTTCAAATAATTTAGTTAAACTGTTAGATGCATGAGGATTTATTTTAATCAAGAACAAAACAGTGATCTTAAGTTTGTTTTCCACAAACTGCAGATATACTCTAACTTATTACCACATTTCAGCTGATCCAGTATAATCATTCTTATCCTAAGTATAATTATCTGCTTCAATTGATGAAAATAAAAATCTTCTTCCCTTTCTAATTTTCCTTTTTAAATTCTACATTCTCTTTTGTATTTGTTTTGGAGAAAGGAAATTACTAAACTCCTGTTTTTTACATTTCTGTTTTTCTCTCTTAGTGTGATTTTTTTTTTTTTTTTTTTTGAGACGGAGTCTTGTTCTGCCACCCAGGCTGGAGTGCAGTGACCGGATCTCAGCTCACTGCAAGCTCCGCCTCCCGGGTTCACGCCATTCTCCTGCCTCAGCCTCCCGAGTAGCTGGGACTACAGGCGCCTGCCACCTCGCCCGGCTAGTTTTTTGTATTTTTTAGTAGAGACGGGGTTTCACCATGCTAGCCAGGATGGTCTCGATCTCCTGACCTCGTGATCCACCCGTCTCGGCCTCCCAAAGTGCTGGGATTACAGGCTTGAGCCACCGCGCCCGGCCAGTGTGATTTTTCTATAAATTACAATATCATTTCTAAAACTCTAGGGATGACTCTTAAATTCTTCAGCATAGTATCTGTTCTCTATGGATTCCCAGGTATAATCATTTAAGAGCAGGTTAGCATTACAGCCAACAAAGTTATTCAATAGGTGGTTTTGAGTATTTTGTGACACTTATTACCAAAATTACCAAATAATTGTCAAATTAACAACAAAAATGTTTGTATTCAATTTTCATTGTTGGTAATTTTACTTATAAATTGTGCCATTTAATATAAAAAATAGTGAATTAAAACATTTTAAAAGTTATGCATAGAATGTAAAGTATTAAACCCACAATTTATTTACAATATTTTCCTAGATTGTAGGTTTTATAACAAGAGAATTTTAGAAGTGTTAGTAGTGTTCCTTTCATTCCACCCTCCCCACTTCATTTCACAGGTGAGAAAACAGAATGGTCCAGAGAGCTCAAGTAATTAAAGTTTTCACAAATAATTAGTAACTGAACCAAATTTTAAACTTAGAGAGCCTAACTTTGATTTGCAATTTAGGATTTTATTTTAAAATATCTGTTAATCTATTAACATACAATGGTGTTTTGAAGGTGTCATTTACATATATGATAAATTGCCTTTTCATACTTTAATTACAAATAATTATCAAATTGAAATTTTTCCATGTTTAATTTTAATTTACAGTTCACCATATGCAAGGTGAAAAGTGTAAATGTTAGCCTATGTAATAAATAATTACAGGATAAAGCACTTACTAATTAAAACTCATCGTACATAATATCATGAGTGACCGCTTCATTTTTACTTCAAAACTGACTTATAAATTCCTTCGTCCAACTCTTTTATTCCTACTGTGTGACATTTATTATTGTCCTGAGATTCTTTTGGTGATGTGTTGAGATAAATGCAGCTGAGCAGCAAACCATAGCCTGATAGGACAGTGGTGGGAGCAGTCTCCCCAGCTCCATGATGAGTCATTGCATCGCTCAACCTTCACATATAAGATGATGTTCAATTAAGTGAATTAAATCTGACCTCACTTTTAGCTCTACAGAAAGGTTCAGATTTACAGCTATTTTCACACTGACCAATTCATGTTACTTAGTCCTTTCTTCTGATAAGTGGTCAGGGTCAGTGATTATCTGTTACTGCTTTTTATTCTTCAACTTTTTTTTTTTTTCTTTTTAAATCACACCTAAAAAGAACTCTTCTAGTTTTGCTCAAGGAAGGCCAGATTGGTCTGATTTTTGTTTATTTGTTTCATTTAAAAATAAAAAGCATTTTCTTGTAGTTAACAAACAACTTTACCATATTGTATATGAGAGTGAAAGTTGATAGATATTCTTTGTCCCTTACCTGTGCTTTGTTCTTCAGGTGTTTTTTTTTTTTTTTTTTTGGTAACTGCTTTAAGATATCCCCCAAAACACAAATTTTTTCTTTGTTTTTATTCACTGAGTATATTTTATATCCAGAATATTTTCTTTTGTCGTGATTTTTTTACAAACATTATTTTAGTTGTCTATACAATATATCATCAAACAGCTGTAGAACACTTAGACTATTATCAAGTACCTAGTGATGAAAAGACAGCTGCACACAAATATTTTTGTATTGTTGCAGTTTGCTTTCTTTTGTATTTCAATTTGGGAGATCTCCAGATGCTATAATTACTTGATAAAAAAAAAAAAAAAAAAAAAAAAAAAAAAACTCTTAGTCTTCCGTGTATGTTAATTTTTTTAAATTTATGATTCCAATCAGCTATGCATTAATGTCTTCTTCATAAGCCTTTTCCAGCATAGTATTGTCTCTTTCCATTTTGCCTTTAATTATTTAAATTTGTTTTTACTGGATTTCTCAGAGAGATGAAGCCTGGCATTTAAAGGGTCCAGATTTTAATTTTTCACATTTATGATGCTCTTACATAAAAAAAGTTTTATGAATTGTGAAAATAAAACTTCAAAGAAAAACTTTATTTTAAAATTAATTCTTCTTAAAATTAACAGAACTCTGATATTCTTTTGACTTATAACTATAATGAAGAAATAAAACTACACTGTTTCTTACTTTTGACATTCATCCAAGGCTAGCACATGTGGGTGGTCATCCTCTGACATGGTGATGACAGCTTCCCTGTCAAATGCTCCAGGTCGAGTCTGGTCCACAGTGTGTCTGGTGATGGATGAGGTGGTGGAGCTTGTCCAGTACAGTGTATCCCAGGCTCTGTGATAGGCAAGTCCTTCCACAGAACCCACATCTAGTGGGGAAAGAAAAAGAAAAAAAATATATTTTTATTTAAAAAAAAAAACTTCTGGACAGAAAAAGCATTAAGATATACATGTATAGCTGTTATTTTATCAACCACTTCTCCACAAAATCTCCTAAATAAAAACGTAGTCACTGTGATACCTACAATTGACAGCTGATTATACAGATATAAAGGGAGCAATTTTTGCAAAAAATGTCATTATATTTATTCTCATAAATAAAAGAAAATTAAATAATTGTCTTTCATTTTGGAAAATGGTGGCTCTCTATCTTTCCTGTATCTTAATCAATTTTCAAAAGTATCCAACGTGTAACAATTTAGAGATGCTTTTGAAAATCTTATGTCAGCAATATCACTTTGGTACAATCACCAAGAGTATTCCCTTGATACTATAGATCTGGAGATGTCCAGGAAAAGCAAACACATGGAAAACTACAACAGTATGAGAAATACTTTTTTTTTTTTTTGAGACGGAGTCTCGCTCTGTCGCCCAGGCTGGAGAAATCCAAAATCTAACTCCTTACTTGAAACTATCAAACAATGGTAGATAATGTTTTAATAGGTTAATGTGGCAATTTATTTGCTTCTATTCAACTAATGAGATAAAAACAAAACAAGAGAAAAAGAAATTAATTGCCAGCTAAAGCATGCTTTAAATGTCAGACAAAGATAAATGGTGATACACGGATCCTAACACATAAAAGTGACAAGGTGGAAAACAAAAGTAATTATTTCTTAAAATTGTATTCCCAATCTCTAGGGTACATAAAGTAGCTGTTTTATTTTTCATAGACATGCTTTGAGTGCATCTTTAAGTGTAATCAAATTATTACACTTTTCCTACATGTTATTAGTTTTCCTCAGAATTATTATTCTGAGCATGTTCAATTTAACAAAGAATATATACACCTTTTTCAGTCATACCAAGAAATTAACATTATTAAGACAGAGCATTTCCCGTGTTTTCCTCTCAAAGAATCTCTAAAAGGAATTATTCAGCTGCTATAAAAATAGGCAGAGCTGTTTCCAGGTTTAAGATGAGTTAATACTTAGTTTGGGGGGATCAATAGGATTTTGCGGGAGGGCAAGACAATAATTAAAGCTTTTGAACAATATTTTTCATTTTTTGTTATTTGTTTCTTTTTTACATACAACATGAAATATCCAATAATAATGCAATTAATGGCTATCATTTTTAGTTACCACATGCTAGAAATGATGCAAACTGTTTTTCATACATTGTTTTATTTTATGTATAAATCTATTCTGTGAAGCTTATGTCATAATTTTTCCATTTCCCAAGAAGAAAGCTGAAACGTATAGTCACAGGGCTGATAATATTAACACAAAATTTTTACTCCCCTCCCATTCATCTGATTCCAAAAGGCTATGTGCTTAGTAGCACCACTATTTGGATATGGGTTTACAATGCTTATTACTTAACCTCAATCTAAACCAACCTGAAACCAAAGGAATGATTCATCAGTCTCAACTTGTTTGACTCTAGGAGAATCGTATACCTAGTAATATACCATAGATAGTCTCCCCTCACACAGTCAACAAAGCAGTCTACAAGGTATTAATGGGGGTGATTAGTGCGAAAATGTAGCCTAGAGATGATGGAAGAAAAATTATAAAACACAGTCACTGTGAAATCAGTTAAGCTAATTTTATGTGATGCATACAGTGCTCCTATCTGGAGCGAGCGGATGAAAAGTTGATCATGGTTAAGAATGTTTAAATCAGTAATAAATCACATTTGCCAGTGTGTTTTTAAATTTCCAAATCATTTCAGAAATGCAGTTAACTCTATTAGTAGTATCTGTAGTATTACACGCCTTTCATCATTCACAAATAAAATGAGAAACGGCATAGCTCTGAAAAAATGTAAGCAAATGAGAATAATTAATCCATCCTCATTCTACATCTTCTCTTCCAGTAACTATGACATATCTTCCTCTTGGTAACTTTCTCTTGTCAATTCAGGAAGAAAACACTTGGTATCACCATTGAGGTGTGGCAGATGCTTCTTTTCTATGGTTAACGTAATTCCAGAGTTACTAGAGAACATAATACATCTCAATATCTAGGTATAATATGTTTTACTTTATTTTTATAGTAGATTATAACCAGAAATTACAGCTAATAATTATCTGTTGCTACATTTTAAAATATTTTAGTAATGTACTTCTTTCTAAAAAAGATGTTTAGATCCTTATAAAAATATATTTTTATTAACAATTAACAAAAGTTAACAAATCCACAAAAATTAATAATTTTTATTAACAAAAAGCCAGTTAAAATTATTGAAATATTCTAGTTGAGGTAAGACATATTTCTCAATTTGTGATGATTTATCGACAGCGAGGGCCATGTGGCGTGTGTGTGTACGTGTGCACACACATCTGTGTTTGAACATTGAGATTCTCAAAACAGTTGAACAGCCAGAATAGGACTTTGAATTACTGATCCTGGAAGGCAATTATGTAGTTTGAAAATAAAATAAAATGCCTATCTACCCAACCAGACCTGAAATATTGAGCAGAGTAAATCAATACGAAGCTAAATTCTTGGAACTCAAGGATGTAGCACCTACATCTACGAAGATGCAGGATAGGTGTAATTAAGAAGATATCTATAATAGTGCTGTTTCAGCAGCTCCATACTTTTCACCCCAGCAATATACATACACACACACACACATATATGTACACACACACACACACATATATGTGTGTGAAATGTAACGTAAAATCAGTAAAAATTCCATCGCCTTACCTCATGCACTTGCCAAGAGGAAAAAAAAAAAAAAAAAAAAAAGAGTTTTCTTCCCTTTTACCCACTTTTGAGCAGGGAATTGGGTTTGGCTAAGCATGAGTCAGGTCCCGACATGTTTTTGCAGAAGAAAGAAGGGGAGGTCAGCACATCAAAAAATACAAGCCAGTCAGGCAACTCAGAACCGTGGTTGTACCCTATTTCCTGGATTCTAGTTTCCATAGCCATGATGGGGAAATTGATTCTGATAGCTTGACAGAGAAATAAACCACTCCTCTTATAGCTACCCAAAGGACTTCAGTTCATAGAGAACATAACTTTCATCTCATCACCACTGAGGAATAGCAATAGCCCCTTCTTGTCTGAACATTGTCTTAAAGGCAGCATAAGAGCTTACCAAATGGGAAAGGCTGTGAAGGATATTATTCACAGGGAGCCACATCCGTTAAACACTGTTATTCATCTGGCCAGGATAACAAGAGAAATTCACAGATAAATTCAGTTGTGAAGTGGTTTGGATGGGTCCTCACCCAAATCTCATCTTGAACTGTAGTTCCCACAATCCCCATGTGTTGTAGGAGGGACCCAGTGGGGGGTAATTGAATCACAGTGGCAGGTTTTTCCATGCTGTTCCTGTGATAGTGAATAAGTCTCACAAAATATAATGCTTTTATAAAGAGCAGTTCCACTGCACACACTCTCTTGCCTGTCACCATGTAAGATGTGCCTTTGCTGTTCTTTCACCTTCCACCATGATTGTGAGGCCTACCCAGTCATGTGGAACTGTGAGTTCATTGAACTTCCTTTTCTTTATAAATTACCCAGTCTTGGGTATGTCTTTATCAGCAGCATGAGAACAGACTAATACACAAAGTTAGCAGGACATAATATTTATCTCAAAGACATGCTACAACTATAAAGCATCATAATGAAGTCCTCGTTGATTGTGTACTACTTTCTTAGGTACTGGCTTGTTCTCCAAAGCCACAGAGTATCAGTTTGTTGTTTGAAATTATACCATTAGTAGAAAGCATCCAAATCTTGTTTGGAGGATCTAAGTTTTGACACAAAGAAGCAGTCTTGATTTCCAGCCCAGGTAAAGAACCTAAATTAAGAAATTTCTTCACAAAATATTCCACATCTATATTGACTGTGAAGTTTCCAAGGAAAGAGGATCCTAGGTCCACCTCACTATCCAGATCTGATGTTGAACTCTTCGCAAATAGTACATATAACTCTGCTCTAACAAAACACTACTTCACTGAAATTGTGTCTAAATTCTACTCTCTGAAAAAATATTCTAAAAATTCTGTTGCTTTTCCTCCTTTTATTTTCTTTTTTCTTTCCTTTCCTTTTATTATTTCTTTTATCTCTCTTTCTTTCTTTCTCTTTCTTTCTTTCCCTTTCTTTCCCCATCCTTCCTTCCTTCTTTCTTCTCTTTCTTTTCTCTTTTCTTTCTTTCTTTCTTTCTTTCTTTCTTTCTTTCTTTCTTTCTTTCTTTCTTTCTTTCTTTCTTTCTCTCTCTCTCTCTTTCTTTCTTTCTTTCTTTTCTTTCTCTTTCTTTCTTTCTTTCCTTTCTTTCCTTTCTTTGCTTTCTTTCCTTTGTTTCTCTCTCCTTCCTTTCTGCCTGCCTGCCTTTCTTTACTCCTTCCCTCCCTTCCTTCCTTTTTTCTTTCTTCCTTTTTTGTGAGATTCACCATAGTTTTTCTAGTATACAGTCTCTATCATTGCAATAAGACAATAATTTGACATGGTTGAATGACAGGTTTATTTGACAAAATTCAATAACCTTTCATTATAAAAATATTCAACAAACTAGCAATAGAACTTCCTCAACTTGATAAAAGGAATGTAAAAACCCAAGGCTCATATTATATTTAGTGGTGAGAAAATGAATGTTTTCCCTCAAAGATGAGGACCAAAGCAAGCATGTACACATTTCCCTTTATTCAGCTAATGTTGAATAAAATCGGAGATTCTAGCAAAAGTAATTGGGGGTGGGGGACAGTCAGAGAGAGAGAGAGAGACAGGGAGAGAGGGAGGGAAGAAGAGAGAGAGAGAAAGAGAGAGAGAGAGAGAGAGAAAGAGAGAGAGAGAGAGAGAGAGATAAATGGCATCCAGATTGGAAAGAAAGAAGTAACACTATCACTATTTGCAGATGGCAAGTACTGGTATATACAAAAACTTAAATAACTTAATAGAAATGTATAGTC